CTTCTTGGGCTTCATGTCTTTAGTCTGTACATGTCTTGGCTTCGTGTCTTTGGATTTGGCATCCGAACTTGGCTACGTTTTTGGGGGGCTTGGCTGGCAGGTTCAGGGTTTCACATGTTAGGGTTTCTTTGGCTTTTGCGGGGTTTACTTCAGGGTCTCTGTGGCTGAGGGCTTCACTTTCATAGGATTTGTTTGGGTATGGCTGGTTCGCTTCTTTCATGGCCGTCTCTTCTTTAGGGTGTTGGGGTGGGCTGCGGAGTGTTCGGGTCTGACTTCTTTCGGATTCCTTTAGGCTTGGCTGAGGGCTTGAGTTCTTCAGGGTTTCTTTGGCGTAGGGCTTCACTACTTTAGGGTTTCGTTGGGCTGGTCTTGCTGGGGCTGAGGGCTTCACTTCTTGTTTGGGTATGACCTGCAGCCTCTCCCCCCCTTGCGATCCTCTCTCCTTTCCCGTCCCGCCCATTTGCTACCTTTCGTTCACCCCCTCCTATCTCAGGTTACTTACTAGTAGCGATGCCCTTTGTTCCTAGTAGCTTCTTGTTACTAGTAGTGATGCCAGGCTGTGAGACCAGCTTTGGCTGCCATCAGGCTTGCTTTGCTCTCCCACAGCATGAAACACCTGAGGGGCTTCTCCTCATCCTTTCAACCATGTCTTCAAAAAAAGTACATGCCTCTTCCAGCAATTTTCAGGATGGCAAGGCTAGGGCTAGGGCTTGCATTTTTTCCCAGACACGACGAGTGGGACTGAAATACTGGAATATTTATATCCCCCCGCAAGCTAACATGGAACCTGAAAATGGACCGGTGGCTTCGACCATTTTCCGAATACCAACCGGGGCGTGATTTTGGGATTCCATGTGGTCCTCTGCGGGGGAGTACCTACATTGACCCTGAAAACATCCTGAAATCAACCACCCTATGTAAATATTCCAGTCTGTCAGTCGTGTTTGGGTTGGACGGTTGGACGGTTTCCGGGTTTGGCCGATCAGGTGATTGTTTATTTGTCCCCGATATATGGTTAAATGTATCATATATCCCCATACCTGGGGAATATGTTTTAAACGACTGTTTCTCGTCCAGGTTCCTAGACAGCAAATCTATGGCAGACGCCCGCGCCCGTGGCAGACAGACCTGCGATGTGAGACCCTAAGGCCTAGGTAGTCGTCCAGGACGGATGGCGTGTTCCATCGCCGGGAAGCTGCGAGTAGCGAGGAGTGTATCGGTTTTCGGAAAGGTTTTGCCTCAAACGAAAAAGCGTTTTGCACCGGTGGAAGCAAAGATGTCATGAAGTTGACAGTGTTTCCTTGGAAACTGAAGGAAGCCGGGCCTTCCTGGAAACCAAAGTGTTGTTGGGAGGCGGAGTATGACGGAGTTTTAAAGTCTTAGGACTCACTACAGATCAAGTGATTGATCACACAAATTTAGAACGGATGCTTGTTGTGCTACTTGGGTCGTTTGCTATGGTCTGCTGTACCTTGCAAGGGATTCAATATCTTAGACCTAGGGATCCACCATACCTCAGGTTCGGTACGACTGGAACCTTCTCCCCAATCCGGACCCTACATGAATCGTCATCCCTGGATCCACTTGATCCGATATCCAAAACTGTTGCAGTCCATCCCTGGATCCACTGCTTCGAGAAGTACAGACGAGTTCGGTACGATCCGATGTTGAAAGGTGAATCCCGAGAGCCCAGTAGTAAAGGGTACAAGTATGTACAAGTCAGTGATGTCTCAGATTTTATAAGGATCTATGTGTCCGGAAGCTGGGGGGAACCGCTTTACACTTTAGAATCGGTGTACCAGGGGGCAGATGTGAATGTACCTCGGGGGATGTACAAGTTATATGTACATCTGGATATATACATATATACCAGAACCATCCAAGACGTGTCCAATGGACTACCCTACCCTACTTATAGGTCTCTATTGGGTACCCGTTGGAAGTGCTAGGTATATATTACATATATATATATATGTTTTATATAACTATATGTAAACTGAGATGTGTAAACTGTTTAACAGTGATCTTACAACCAAGTACCTTAACGAGTGTACAGTGTGATGGTTTCACTTCCGGTGCCCGCGGTCACCGGGTCACCGGGTTGTTGATGTCCTGCACTTCGGAGAGTCATCAGAGTCATCAAACCAGGCGAAGTTGGACTCGTCCTCCGACCACGGACGCAGGACGCTCCCCTCGTCAGTGATTCATGCCGAAACCCCTCACAGCGACATGCAAAGAGACGCGGCATGCGTCGCCGTGCGACGCCGTGCGTTTGGCGTGCGCGGATCCTCGCGTTTCGCCGATCGTCGATCGCCGGTCCTAGAGCTGAGTTGTTTGTAACAGGATCGGAAGGGGTGGAGGATCATCAAAGCCCATGCATGCCATTTACAATAGGCAGACCTCCTGCCAATGGGTCGACCGGTCGATTTTCCCAACCGAAGCCAGATGGTCGGAACGCCGACGGTCAGATACATGTGATTTTCGCGGATGTTCCATTTGACCATGAACATGGAGAGAAGCAGCTCCGGCGGAGGTGCTTCGGACTGCCTTCTTCGCACTGCGAATTCGCTCGGTCGTTCCACCTCAATCACCTAGACACGACGTGACACGACACTGGCATACCTGGATCTTCCAACGACGTGCAGGTCATTTCTGCCTTTTCATCCATAAAACTAGCTTTAAAAGCATAAATTTGGTATATGCTGCCTACATTGAACCCTTTTCAATTCAGAAAGGGACGCTGTCAGGCCCCCCCAAAATACACGTTTCTGGAAATACATTGACGAATTATAAACATGCAGTATATTATCTTTATATACAGCAACTACAGTAGATAGTAATACTAGCAATTCTTTTTTTTGGGCTGATCTTAATCAAAAAAATAGCAACGTGTACAAAAGTAGAAGCTGGATCGATAGAAACAAAGAAAGGGACGCTGTTTTTCTTAAAAACAAACAAAACAGACTCCTCTAATAGAAAGAGTCCATAAGGTGCAGCAGATTAGGAGCCTTTTGGCAAAGGCTGGGAGGGATGGTCGACCAAAAAACAAGCCCCTCCTCCAGATTAGGAGCCTTTGGCCAAGGCTGGCAAGTCTACTAGAGCAGAGTGAAACATATGTGTTTTTACTATTGAAACTATGTTTCACAATGTTTGAAATGTATTTAAAAAAAAAACTACCGTAAACTGAAGCATGCTGGTAAACACAGTATAGTGTGTTAAGACTGATGCTTTCACCATCAAAGCTGAAGATGAAAAGAACCAAGTGAGTGGTTTTTATTAGTAAGATTGGAGGCTGGAGAGTGAGCAAGTATGTGGAAAATCAATTTTTTACAACTTAACTTTACCCTCCAGGTCGATGGTCTCGTAAAACTAGATCATTAGAAAACAGATTTCGTGAGTTCTATTTACTTTCTAATGACTTCTAGGTACTTGGAGTCATTCCGACCATTGTGGTCTTTTCATGTCTTTTCCATGGCTCCAGGAGGTCATTTCACGTGGATTTACACTGGATTAGCATCAATCCCAAAAGCCATCAATGTAGTGGTCAAAGACTCGATGGACAAGCATCATAAACCATCAGATTTTCATGGCTGGATGGCCCAGTGGGAGCCATGAAGCGGTCATTGGCTCTTCGAAGGGCTTCTCTGAGGAGCATTCGAGGAGAAGGTGGGATGGCATGTTTACCCGTGGAGGGCTTGGGTGTGCTGGGTGCACTCTGAGATCACCTGCCCAGCTGCGAGTTGTGGGCTCAAAGTGGGTGGTGGGCTTGGGTGGGCACCATGCCCGATTCCAAACCCAGGGAGAAGATCCTGGAGGGTTTGAAGGCTGGAATTTTCTGAAGTTTAAAGACACTCAGCAAGTGAGACCATCAACCATATGAGATCATCAACTGGTCAGGTCTTCTACAGAGACCGCTTGGAGGATGATGGGAGGGCGGTGGGGTTTGAAGAGCTGGCGAAGCTCGAGAACATCCCAGACCCTTGGACCCTTTTGATGAGAGGGGAGCTACTGTAGTTTAGTGAAGCGGTCCAAATTCCAATGACCTGCTGGTATGTGTACAGGTCTTGGGAACCTGTGAGCTCAGGAGAAGAGATACCTCAAGATGATTTCGAAGGGCAACGTGTCTTGGATTTAGATCCTTTTTTCCAGCAGGTGCCCCTGTTATCTCATGGATCTTTGCCTGAACATGCCAAAAAAAAATCTAGTTTTTTAAGACCATCGATTTGACCTGGAGGGTATATATATATTAGCTAATCTAGCTAGCTAGTTGTTTAGAGACCTTTTGACCTGGAGGGATAATTCTCTTGGGGGGGCAACCTCCCTGATGTCGCGATGTCCTCGATCGACGTTCGGCAGCGAACGACCGGTGATCGGTCCGGACCCGATCGATGTCGTTGACGGTGCGGTGGATGCTGTTGATCAAGGGGTCCTGTCATCCCAAACACTCCACCCCAACCACAATCAACAGCCATGGACCAACAGCCCTCCAGTCGATCAGCCCGGAACGAAGCTAGCTCCCGGGGAGCTTCTGTCTGGATCTGTGCCGGCAGATCTATCTCTGGTGGAGTCCCTTCTTAGGTCCCATGTGGTACATGAAAACCCTATAGGATCCAAGGACGCAGCATCCCGAGGGGATAGGTGCAGCTACTCTGCCGGAGCCGCAAAGGGCAGCTGAGCGACGCTCTGCGGCTCGTGGGCGTCTCCAACGGCACGTCGGCCAGCTAGACGAAGCCATTGAGCGACGCTCTATACGGCTCCTCTCGGTCGGACTCCCTCGGAGCGACCGCTGGCCACTGAACGACGTTCTGCGGCTTGGCTCTTCACTCCAACCTCTGCAACACTCGGTTGGAGCGACCGACTGCCACGCCGGATTCGGCCTGCCGCTTGGTCACTCTTTTCTTCGCTCCTCCGTACTGGCGCTCGATGTTGGTGGGATCCAAGTCGAACTTCAGGGCTCGGGCGCCACCCAGTGCGATCAGAAGCCTCGACGGCTGACCCTGCTACCTGGCGGCCTCATTGAAGTGCACGCAGATGCACTCAAGCACGGCCTGCCGCCCTGCGGCGTCCAAGCTGTTGGCGGTCTCCTCGACCGCGTCCACCACCAAGCGCACCAAAATGGTGCTGTACAAGCTCGCCCTGTCCACGTACTCATAGGAACCTCCTTTGCACATAGCCAGCGCGTACGGAGGGTCTCCCTCCGACCCATCGTGCACGGCCCACTCCACGTTCTCCGACCGTGTGAGGTCGTTCCACGTGGCGCCCTGCGCCGAACGACGTTCTGCAGCACGCTGGGCAGCGCATAGGCGTCCTTCAGCGCCGTCGCCAACATTGGCCGGTTGCCCGCGATGGACGGTCCCAAGATGCCTGTCAGCCGGCGGAAGAAGTCACCGATTTCGCCGGCGGCGCACAAAGCTGCGTCCAACAGCGTTGGCTCGGGGGGTGCCGCGGGGAGCACCGCTGCCGCTGCAACCACGCGATCTCGCACATCCTGCTCTGCCCAGACGCCCACCTCACTGTCGCGACGGCGGGCGCGCCCCCCCCCCCCCACCCACACCTTTAAGAAATATACACCTTTTACCTTAAAATAAAAAACATCCTTCCAAGTTTTATCCTTTTCGCCCCTTTCGGCTCGCTGTCCTAGTTCTCTCCCTCCCGCCTTGTCCATCGTCTGCTCCACCACAGCCATAGCCTGGCCGATCTCCTCGGCCACCGCCGACGAGACCGCTTCTGTTGCCTCTGGCCTCTCGTGGTTACCCTCGAAGTGGTTTCGGACTTCGTTGGTGCCCTGGAAAAGAAGTTGTTGCCTCTTTCTGCTTTTGCAGAACAAGCACGAGAGATAGCCCTCCCGCCGGGTCGCTTCTCTCAGACCTTGCACCGTGAAGATCTCCACCTCTGCCCGAGTCAGGCCCTCGTACCAACTTTGCCCCGTTGCCACTGCCATTATCCGCTCCAAGCCTTCCGGGGTGATAGTCGTCTCCAGTGGCGGCACCTCCACCTGGTTTGCCGCCGGTTGGGTCGCCGCGCTTGGTGTCTCCTGCAACTGCGCGACGCGCTGCTGCGCAGCGCTGCTGCTCGGCGCTTCCGGGGGCGGCGCACTCGGCGCTTCGGGGGCAGGAGTGCCAGGCTGTGGCTCCGGCTGAGCTACGCTCTGCGCTTCTGCCCGCTGTGTCGCGATGGCTCCCAGAGCGACCGGTAGGAAACCTTTCTTCCAGCCCCACGCCCGGGTGGCGGCATACCTCGTGCCACCAGTGGTGAACATGAAGTGACCATCCACGGGAAATTCCTCCCCCAAGCATGTGCACCCACGTCGGTCGCGCTCGGCTCTCCCCTGCCCATCCATCTGCTCCTGGAAAAGGTAGATGGGGCCAAGGGTGGGGCAGAAATTCCACCCTTGCACTGGGTCCTTGCCGAGGCCGCGCCGCAGCTCTGCCCACAAAAACTCGCAGAACAACAGGTATCGCTTCAGGTGACTCTGCGACGTGCCCAACGCATGTCCCACCGCTCTGGCTAAGAGCGGATGCTTCGCGGACGCGTGCCAAATGTTCCCCTGGAAGATATGTTTGCGGTTTTGTCCGATGCTGAGGAGGAGGTGCGGGACTTGTGACAAATCTCGCACCTCGTGGGCGAACTTCCACCCTCTTTCCACAAGCGAATATACCGCCACAGGTCCGCCCTATGGGCAGGTTGCTGAAAGCTCTCATAGCGCGCGAGGAGAGCAGACCCGCCCAGGCTCTTGATGTCTTCGACGCACTCTGCGTCTCCCACAAAATGTCTTTCCAACCCTTGGGCGAACTGTGCCTTATTGGCTGCAGCTTGTGGGTGGTCCTCTCATCATGATCAGAAGGTACGACTGGGCCCTCCTGAGAACACAAAGAGTCTGTGAGAAGGTCCACCCTGGTGTCAGCGTGGATCGTCGGGCCGTCGGAAGGGAGTGGAAGACCGGAAAGACTCCAGCGGCATTTTTCACGCCATTGAACGTACGGGTACCTCTACCCCCAAGGCTACCGGGGCAGATTTTCTGTCTTTGGCTGGCATGCGCTGGAGGTTTCTGAGTGAGTGGTTCCGGTGGGGTTGGCTTGGGGGTGCACTGGTGAGAACATGATCTAGATCCCCCAGTGGGTCAATGCACCAGGTTCTAGTTCTTTAGTGACGCACTAGGTACTGGTTTAACCGGTGCTTCAGCAAAACGGGAGCTGGAAGCTTGAAAAGGCTGTGAAAAACCGTGAAACAGGATGAAAGGCTGTGAAAAACTGGTCTTGGAAGTTGGGAGGTGAAATGCGTCCTTTATGCTACACCAGTTTAACCCGTCCTTCTTACGATCCATGAGGCACCCTGTGAGTTCTCCTTTGTGAGTGTGGAGAGGAAGCTCAACAGCAAAATCTTCAAGATGGACGTGACCTTCCTGTTTGTCCGGGACTGGCTGTGCATTTTCGGGCAGAACAAGGTCACATCCAAGGAGGCCCAGGCCAGGCCAGATGGTGAGGTTTTTTCTTCTTGCGGTCATTGTTCCATGATGTCCCATGCAACTGGTACTGGATCGTACCAGACTATCAGGTGTTTGCCATGAGAAGTCACCGCATTGCGGGTTGTCATACATTGTGGCCAATCTTGGGGTTCATTGTGCACTCACTGAACAAGGCCTTTGATGGCTGTGGCCAGTCCGGTTGCAAATTTTCAGTCTCAGAACTGAAAAGAGATTGGGTCTGGCTCAGGAAGGTGCTACGATTCGGGCCATCGTACACAGGCAACCATGTGTGCTTCTTGTGTCACGCTACTGTTCACCTTCACAGCTCACCATTCTGGGACATGGAGGGAAACAACCAAGAGGTGTCTACAGAGAATTATTTGACCACCATGATGGATCCTCACTGCCCGCCAAGTCCTTTGGTCCTGATCATAGGATTTTGCCCTGGTATGATCCAAGTTTGCTCGATGCACACAGTAAACTTGGGGCTGTGCTTTACGACGAATGGTGCATTGCTGTGCACCCTGTTGAGAAACGGATTTTACGGCCCCTCCAATCGCTCCATTGACGCGTTGAATGAGGTGTTTGCAGACTTCACATGTTGGAGGAAAAGCATTGGAGTCAGATCTAGTCAAAGGCGTTTCAAACCTTCGATGGTGTCTCAGCTACAAGATGCAGGCCAAAGACCCAAGCAGGCCCTTTACCACATATAGCTGACCTATCAAAAGCTACAGGTCTTTGCACTGCATAATAGTGTGGTTCTGTATTGCGCTTTTTGGATGTAGGGTGTGAAAGGTAGCCCCAAACACACAGGTCCTTTACTGAAGTCTTGGACCTGTGAGCTCAGCTCAGGTTGACCAATATGGGCATGGGTCCTACCTGACGGCCAAAGCCTGGAACTCCCGGGTTTTGCTGGAGTGGCTGCATGATGCCTCCCTGCGCGCAGCCACAATGGACTTTCCTCAAGAGACTTGTTCTTGAGTGTTGCTGGGTTGTTCTTGCTGTGACCTGCTTCGCCAGTGTCTAGATCTGTACTTTGGGAATGGGAGCATGGTGCACCAAGGACAGGCCATTGGGGAGATGGCTTCAAGGTGAGGTGAGTACTGGACGACAAAGCTGGCCGGATGACCCTTTGATCACGCTGAACCCGTTGGCTTCGTATCCTGCCATGCAAATGCTTGTTGATGCCTTTTGGCCATGTCATGATCACATGTCGCAACATGTGTGTCCTAAGGCAAGCTTTGTGCGAGTGGTTTGGCCGGTGTGAGCAAGCTCCAAGGTTCTTGTGATTTTGGTTGCAGTTTAAAAAGGTTTCCTGCAAGGGGTATGTGGTTGTGTTATGCTTTTGGCCACACTTCATTAGGTATTGTGTCCATATCGGTCATTTCCTGGTGCCTAGGTCCCAGGAGCAAGCAGATTCAATCCATGCGGCTGGAATGCGGTTCCTTCGATATCACATCCACCTCCTCAAAGTCTCTTCCAGGAGACTAGAGTTGTTGTTGACTGCTTTGGGGATTGTGAATTCGAAGAATTGTTTGAAGTTTGTGTTTATATGTTCATCCTGTTTCTGTTTTTGTGGGGCAGGATGGGATTGCAGTGCTGGTTTGTAAAACCAAAAATGCATATGTTCAAGCACTTGCTGGAGCGCACCCGCAAGTTCAGATCCTTGATTTGATGATCCACCCTTGTGTTTTCCCATCCCTACAAGTCCAAAGACCCAGTACAACATGGTCCTTTACCTCCTTGAGTAGTGTTTTTGTACGATCAACTTTAGTAAAAATTGACAATTTACATCCTGGTAGGGTTTCCATTGTTGGTGGAGATGTCTTGGTGGTTTCTGTGGTGGTGCATGTGGCTAAGGATACAACAGCCGCTTTGCACACTGCTTCTCGGAGGAGGACACGATAGGGACATTGAAGAAGGTGTCGGCGAGCATCTCTGGCCGTCACATGGAACCCTATCTGTGCAAGATAGCCAGGCTGAGGCCAGGTGTTGAGGATGTTGAAAGAAGTTTGCCATTGTTCACGGTATATTTTGATCTACAATGCCTGTAGGGTTTTGTGGGGACCATTCCTGGTCAGTTGGTTTTGCAGGGCCAATTCCATGTGTTTGCATGTGCTTTTTTTGGCACGCGTTTGGTCAGGTTGAGATGTGCAAAGAAGCGCATTTGGAGGACTGCGTTTGGGATGTTTTTTGTTTGAATAAACATGCAGATGTTGGTACTGTGGGTTCGAAAACCTGACGAAAATATGCAAAACCTAGTCCCTCATGTCATTGAGTACAGTGTCGGCATGTTCCATCAAGACTTTGTATCATTTTGCTCTGATTTGGCCTCGTTTGCAGGACCAACATGGAGCAAGCTTGGCGACGCTGATGGAGAGTGGAAAGAAGGGGCGTGTTTCCGATCGTCTCGGAAAACTCGATCCTTTGCACATGACCTCGTTTTACTGGACTCCCGGACTTGCAGGGTTACCAAGTTGTAGAAAATCAAACTGTAGAAATACCAACATCTAAAGGTTGATAAATTCAAAATGATGAGTATGATACACAATATTACTTGTATGCCCTACTAATAGGTTATTACACACAATTTTGACAGTGATGCCATACCAAAAAACAAGATGTTTGGTACAAGTTTTGGCAACTGAGTGTTTATTGGAAGCCCAAATAGTTTGTCGAGCAATATGTTTTGGGCCACACGTGATACCAGACAAAAAAAATCAGTTCATGAGCTGGCAAATTTGCAAATACCAAAGATTATGAACAATATGCTGATGCAATGATTGACAATATGTTTGCGCATAACATATTACTGAAAGTTTCGAAGAGACTGAACACAGAAGAAGATGAACAACAACTAAACAATATCAAGAACTAACATGAACTAACTATATACTTGTAAATACCAAAAACTAAACTAAATTAAGACATACTTATATATATAGACATACTAATGATAGTGTGTTGTCAACATACAACGTAGCATACTTGAATAAGACATATAAACAATCTTATAAAATCATATGTTTGTGTAAAAACAAAACACTGAAAACCACATATTTTGGGGGGGCCTGGTGGCATCCCACTCTCTTTCAATTGACCCAACTGGATCGGCAGTCCTATGGCAGTGTCGTGTTTGGGTCATGGTTTCGTGACGTGTTTGGGTCTAACCAAGGGGCCTTCGGCCGAAGGAAGGCCTTGTTGGTGCCTTCTTGGTTGCATGTCGTTTCGCTCGCTTCGTCGTTTCGCTTCGTTTCGCTTCACCTCGTTGCGACACCGGATCTGTTTACTGCTTCACTCGTGCGGCGTCGCGGTTTTTTCTGAGGCCAGGGTGAGATGTTGATTTGCCTGGTTGGGTGATGAGGGGAAGAAAGGCGGATTTGGGGTGGTTTTTCCCCCTATAGCTACTAAAATAAGGAAACAAGTCTGGGTTTTTACCCGAACATGAACTGAATAGACGACCTACAGGAGGTGAGTTCTCGGCTCCAGGGGCCCCGGCCACAGCAAAGTGGACTGCGACATGTGAGGCGTGACGCTTGGAGCAAGTCCCAAGTTCTGGTTGAAAGGAACATCGTCACGGTGAAAACCGGTAACAACCAAAAGCTTTGGAGGTGAAAACGAATGTTTTCCTGTACATTGTTTTCTTCAACCAACTATTGTTTGAGCAAGCTTGCTTTTGATGTAGACTCTTGAATGAAGAGGTGTTTCAATTCAACTGGGATGGTTTATCAATCAAGAGTCTACATTAAGCTCATTAAGACTCACTGGGTGGTTGTTCCTTCTGTGCTCACGACGCTTGGCTCAAGCCCTCGCAGGCCCACTGGCCGCAATTGAGAAGGTCTGAAAGAAAGGTGCCCTTAAGGAGCCATACAAGCTCCATGACCACAGTTGGACACATTCGCAGGTCGCACATCTCCTTTCAGCAGTCTTCCAGTCAGTCTCCCTCAGTGGGTACCCGGACATCCCAAGAACACGCATGAACAGTCTGTGGCATATCGGGGCCAAGCCATCGCACAAATGAAAGAAGTCACCGAAGAAAGAAGGTCCACTTGTTTCAGACTCAGACTTATCAGGCTCTCTCAAAGGAGACCCGGGCGCAGGTGGTGGTTGAGACCGCGCGAGGTTTCTTTTTCAGATGGGGTGGCAGTGTG